GAATTGGTGATCCTCTTACCATCTTGGCTTCTGAGAGACACTGACACTCTGAGAAGCTCTTTTTATACCCAATCATGTTGTCAATTGACCTAATTATTGTTAATTGGTCTTCCAACTGTTCGTTATATGCTCAATTTCCTTTTTCCAGCCACTTATTGCTACTTGTCCCAACTTTTTTGGGATTTGTTGACACTGTGAAATTTTGAATCAACATATTTTTCCTTTAAAATGTTACATTTACTCAGATTAAACTTTTGATCTGTCATCTATGTTAAATTACGAATAAAATATTGACATTTGCCATCTCCACATCATTGCATTCAGTTTTTATTCACAGTTTGTTTAGTGTCCCAACTTTTTTGGAATCCAGTTTGTATCTAAGATCCTTATTTACAGGTTTTTTTTACGTTTTATACTTTTGTTGGCTGTAACTGGGACACTGTGTACACAATATCGTTCCACCTCATGTACTACCGGTACATGTGATGCGAATGGGAACTGGTCAAACTTGGCAACAATTAAAATTTAGATGCCTGAACAGGAAATTAACTACAAAGTTAAGTTGTTTTAATGGGATGAACCAGATCGGGTTAATCCTAATCTGATTATATTTCACATTATTTTCTATGAAATGTTTGATTTTATTCTCTTAAATCAGAGACTTGACTGTTTTTATTTTTCAGTAGAAGAAGAAGAGGATGACGGAGAGGACGCAGAGATCGACGTGGTGACGTTGGACACGACGTCTTGGCGTCCTGACCCCGCCCCTCTAGTCCTGAAACCAGCTCACATCATCGACATCCACCTGCACAACTACGCCGCCCCGCTGACTGCTGGGAAACGACTGAAGGCTGTGGGGCCAGGAGGCAGGCGGCGGTGTTGGAGCCCACGGTCGGACAGCGAGGACAGACGGCGGACACACAACGTGCTGGAGAGGCAGCGGCGCGACCAGCTGAGGAGGAACTTCCTGTCTCTGAGGGACCAGGTCCCCGCTGTCGAAGGCAACGGGAAGGTGGCAAAGGTGTTGGTACTGAAGGAGGCGGCGGCATTCATCGCCGAGGTCCGAGAGGAGGAAAGGAGTCTGCTGATGATGAAGGAGGCGCTGACGATGAGGAGCAGACAGCTGAGACAAAGACTGGAGTGGCTTGGGACATCATGCTAACCATTAGCATGTCGTGTTCTGTGATGAGCCCGTTTTTATTGTTTGGTTTTTGTTGTCCTGCTGGATTCAGGATCAGTTTCATCAGAACTGTTAAGAACTTCTCGTCCTTTGGGATGGTGAGCAAACAGGAAGTTTTCCTGGAATCTGTTTTATTTCTCTGGAGGGACTGATGGCTCATATTGTTCAATGTTCTGATGAAATGGGTCCTAACCGGGCCTCGGACCGCTTCACGCGTTGGTTCTGACCTGACCCAGAGTCCTGACGTAACAGTTTGCTGTCCACAAAAACAAGTCATGGCTGCAATACCTGTGCTGAGTCAGAACTGGGTCCAGACCAGTGGCAGCTCATCAACAAGGGGCGCTAGGGTGCTGCCCCGCCACTCAAACCACTCACCAGATTACACTGAAGACTTGAACAATTAAATAAAAAATGGTAGAATCCATCCATTTTCTTCCGCTTATCCGGGGTCGGGTCGCGGGGGTAGCAGCCTAAGTAGGGAAGCCCAGACTTCCCTCTCCCCAGCCACTTGGGCCAGCTCTTCCGGGGGAATCCCGAGGCGTTCCCAGGCCAGCTGAGAAACATAGTCCCTCCAGCGTGTCCTGGGTCTTCCTCTGGGCCTCCTTCCGGTGGGACGTGTCCGGAACACCTCACCAGGGAGGCGTCCAGAAGGCATCCTAAACAAATGCCCAAGCCACCTCAACTGGCTCCTCTCGATGTGGAGAAGCAGCGGCTCTACTCTGAGTCTCTCCCGGATGATCGAGCTTCTCACCCTATCTAAGGGAGAGCCCAGACACCCTGCGGAGAAAACTCATTTCGGCCGCTTGTATCCGAGATCTCATTCTTTTGGTCACAACCCAAAGCTCGTGACCATAGATGAGGGTAGGAACGTAGATCGATTAGTAAATTGAGAGCTTCGCCTTTTGACTCAGCTCTCTCTTCACCACGACAGACCTGTACAGCGCCCGCTTCACTGCAGACGCTGCACCTATCCGCCTATCGATCTCACGCTCCATTTTTCCCTCATTCGTGAACAAGACCCCAAGATACTTGAACTCCTCCACTTGGGGTAGGACCTTCTCCCTGACCCGGAGAGGGCACTCTACCCTTTTCCGGCTCAAGACCATGGCCTCGGATTTGGAGGAACTGATCTTCATCCCGGCCGTGTCGCATTCGGCTGCGAACTGCTCCAGCGAAAGCTATAGATCACGTTCTGATGAAGCCAATAAGACCACATCATCTGCAAAAAGCAGAGAAGCAATCGTAAGGCCACCAAAACGGATCCCCTCAACACCTTGGCTGCGCCTAGAAATTCTGTCCATAAAAGTTATGGACAGAATCAATGACAAAGGGCAACCTTGGCGGAGTCCAACTCTCTCCGGGAACAAGCCCGACTTACTGCCGGCGATGCGGACCAGGCTCTGACTCCGGTCATACAGGGACCTAACAGCCCGTATCAAAGGGCCCGGTACCCCATACTCCCAGAGTACCCCCCACAGGGTTCCCCGAGGGACGCGGTCGAACGCCTTCTCCAAGTCCACAAAGCACTGGTTGTAGACCGGTTGGGCAAACTCCCACGCACCCTCCAGGACCCTGCTGAGAGTGTAGAGCTGGTCCAGTGTTCCACGACCAGGACGAAAACCGCACTGCTCCTCTTGAATCCAAGGTTCGACTATCTCTGTTCTACAAAAAAGCTTCTTTCAGCTAAGGCAAATAGCAAAGCTTAAGTCCGTTCTGTCCAGATCTGACCTTGAAAAACTAGTCCATGCATTTATTACAACCCGGCTGGACTACTGTAACTCGCTTTATGTTGGGGTTAGTCAGGCTTCACTTTCACGTCTCCAGCTCGTACAAAATGCTGCAGCTCGGCTACTAACAGGAACTCACAGGTTTGAGCACATTACTCCGGTTCTGTCCTCTCTTCACTGGCTTCCTGTACGTGTCAGAGTTGATTTTAAAATTCTCCTGCTGACATTCAAGTGCATTAACGGACTTGCGCCATCATACCTCTCTGACCTCCTTCATCCTTATGCTCCTTCTCGGGGCTTTGAGATCATCAGACCAGCTGCTTTTGGCCGTACCAAAAACCAGCTGAAGCTCAGAGGAGATCGAGCGTTCCCAGTCGTGGGCCCTAAACTCTGGAACAATCTGCCCATCAACATTCGACAGGCCACCTCAGTCTCTGCTTTTAAATCTCTCCTAAAAACACATTTATACTAATTGACATTTAACACAGGGTGATCAGCTTTAGATCTAGTTCTTCATTGATGCTGATTCTGTTTATGCTTTTGTTATTATTCCTATTTAACACAAGGTCATCAGATCTGATTTAGTATTTCATTGTTTCTGACTGAGTTTATGCTTTTTGTTATTATTTCCTTGACTTATGACACAACGTGATCTGATTTAGTGTTTCATTGGTTCTAATTGTTTTTGGTTTTATATTTTTATTCCATGTGCTGTAAATATATCTTGCTAATTTTTATTTGATGATGTGATATTTTTGTTAAGCAATTTGGTAACAGTTTCTGTTTTAAATGTGCTCTCTATAAATAAATCTGACGTGACTTGACTATCCGACGGACCCTCCTCTCCAGAACCCCCAAATAGACCTTACCAGGGAGGCTTAAGAGCGTGATTCCCCTGTAGTTGGAACACACTCTATGGTCCCCCTTTTTGAATAGGGGGACCACCACCCTGGTCTGCCAATCCAGGGGAACTTCCCCTGATGTTCACGCAATATTGCAGAGTCGCGTAAGCCAACACAACCCTACAACATCCAGAGCCTTAAGGAACTCGGGGCAAATCTCATCCACCCCTGGGGCCCTGCCACCGAGGAGCTTTTTAACCACCTGGGTGACCTCAGCACCAGAAATTGGAGGGCTCGACCCAGAGTCCCCAGGCTCCACTTCCTCAGTGGAAGACGTGCCGGTGGGATTGAGGTCTTCCAAGTATTCCGCCCACCAACCCACAACATCCCGAGTTGAGGTCAGCAGCACACCACTCCCACTATAAACAGTGTTGGTGGCGTACCGCTTCCCCCCCTGAGACGCCGAATGGTGGACCAGAATCGCCTCAAAGCCGTGCGGAAGTCATTCTCCATGGCCTCTCCGAACTCCTCCCATGCCCGAGTTTTTGCCTCAGCGACCACCTGAGCCGCATGTCGCTTGGACTGCCGGTACCCATCAGCTGCTTCCGGGGTCCCACAGGCCAAAAAGGCCCGATAGGACTCCTTTTTCAGCCTGACGGCATCCCTCACCGATGGTGTCCACCATCGGGTTCGAGGGTTGCCGCCGCGACAGGCACTGACAATCTTGCGGCCGCAGCTCCGGTAAGCCGCCTCGACAATAGAGGCACGAAACATGGTCCACGTAGACTCAATGTCCCCCACCTCGCTCGGAACATGCTCGACGTTCTCCCGGAGGTGGGAGTTAAAACTCCATCTCACAGGAGACTCTGCTAGACATTCCCAGCAAACCCTCACAATACGTTTGGGTCTGCCAGGTCTGACCGGCATCCTCCCCCACCATCGGAGCCAACTCACCACCAGGTAGAGATCAGTGGACAGCTCCGCCCCTCTCTTCACCTGAGTGTCCAAGACGTGGCCGCAGATCAGATGAGACGATGACAAAGTCGATCATCGAACTGCGGCCTAGGGTGTCCTGGTGCCAAGAGCACATATGGACATCCTTATGCTTGAACAAGGTGTTCGTTATTGACAATCCCTAACGAGCACAGAAGTCCAACAACAGAACACCACTCTGGTTCAGATCAGGGGGGCCATTCCTCCCAACCACACCCGTCCAGGTCTCACTGTCATTGCCCACATGAGCATTGAAGTCCCCCAGCAGAACAAGGGAGTCCCCAGGAGGTGCACTTTCCAGTACCCCCTCCAAGGACTCCAAAAAGGGTGGATAATCTGAACTGCCGTTTGGTGCATAAGCACAAACGACAGTCAAAACCCGTCTCCCCACACGTAGGCGGAGGGAGGCCACCCTCTCATTCACCGGGGTGAACCCCAACACACAGGCACCAAGTTGGGGGGCAATAAGTATGCCCACTCCTGCTCGGCGCCCCTCACCAGGGGCAATTCCAGAGTGGAAGAGTGTCCAGCCCCTCTCAAGGAATCTGGTTCCAGAGCCATGCATAGAGGTGAGTCCGACTATTTCTAGCCGGAACCTCTCAGCCTCACACACCAGCTCAGGCTCCTTCCCCACCAGTGAGGTGACATTCCACGTCCCAATAGCCAGCTTCTGTAGCCGAGGATAAGACCGCCAGGGTCCCCGCCCTCGGCCGCCACCCATCTCACATTGCACCCGACCCCTTTGGCCCCTCCCACAGGTGGTGAGCCCATGGGAATGGGGACCCACGTCTCCTCTTCGGGCTGTGCCCGGCCGAGCTCCATGGGTAAAAGCCCGGCCACCAGGCGCTCGCCCGCGTGCCCCACCTCCAGGCCTGGCTCCAGAGTGGGGCCCCGGTGACCCACGTCCGGGCAAGGGAACATTAAGTCCGTTTATTTCACTCATCATCGGGGTCTTTGGGCTGCACTTTGTCTGGTCCCTCACTTAGGACCTGTCTGCCATGGGTGACCCTACTAGGGGCGTAAAGCCCCTGACAGCATAGCTCCTAGGATCATTGGGACACTCAAACCCCTCCACCACGGTAAGGTGGCAGCCCAGGGAGGAGGAGTATAATAAATGGTATAATAAAATGGTATAATAAAAATATTTATATATATAAATATATATATATATATATATAGTTGTGTAAGATAAATATTTTATAGTTAATGATGAGTTGTTTCTTTCAGAAACGTTTCTGATTGGTGACATATTTCTGATTCCTGCGGGTGCAAGAATCTGAACCCATAGACTCGTTAAAAGTTGTACATGCGCAGTTAGCTCCTCTTCATTGCAAGAGACAGGAAGATTCTGGGCGCAGATCTCCTGCGCCCAAGCGCACAGTCGAATGCGAACGGTACCAAACGTGCTTCCAGTCCTGCGACAGATTATTTTTTTTGGTCCGCGAACAGATTGTCAAGTGACACTCACATCCAGGCTAGCTGCTACAGGTAGACTTTAATCCATTGAAAGTCCTTTATCTAATTCCTATGTTGCAATTTATGACTGATGTGCCTCTCAACTTTTAGATGTCTCTGTTTGTGAAAAAACTTTCAGCTGACTGTGTATTATAGAAGTGGGAACTGGTGAGTTTGTTTGGTTGTTTCTAGAGCTAGCATGCTAGCGCTAGCCTCCAGGTTATTGTATTGAGCATATTGCTACATTTATTTGAAGGTGCTTATAGAAAAAATATTCATCAAACAATACTTTTCTACAAACCGGATTCCCAAAAAGATGGGACACTAAACAAATTGTGAATGAAAACTGAATGCAATGATGTGGATGTGCCAACATCTAATATTTTATTTAGAACAGAACACAAATCACAGATCAAAAGTTTAATCTGAGTAAATCAGAGTCAGAGTTTCTTTATTGTCATTCGCACCTCATGTGGTACATGTGGTGGAGCGAAATTATGTACACAGGGTCCCAGTTACATCCGACAATAAAATGTCTAAGAAAAACAGTAATAACATCAAAGATATGAACTAAGAAAAACATCAACTAAATATACACTAAGCACTCATAACATAAAACATTGAACATCAGCACAAACATGAACATGAGTCTGTGAGCAGATGTGCACGCATGAACACATCAACATTGAAACAGATCAGCAGCAACATGAAACTGATCAGCAGCAACATGATGTGGTTTTTCACAGTGATTATTCTAGTTAGAGATTCATGAGTCTAACAGCCTCAGCTGTTCCTCAGTCTAGTGGTTCTACACTTAATGCTCCTTAACCTCCTTCCTGAGGGGAGTGGGGCAAAATGTGTGTGTGCTGGGTGAGTGGGGTCCTTCATGATGCAGGTGGCCCTCTTCCTGCATCTGGAGGTGTAGATGTCTGTGATGGTGGGGAGGCTGATTCCAACAGATTTCTGTGCAGCCTTCACCACTCTCTGCAAAGCTTTTCTTTCTGCAGCTGTGCAGCCTCCATGCCACACATTGATGCTCGAGTACAGGATGCTCTCCACTGCACACCTGTAGAAGGAGGTGAGGACTGAGCTTCCCAGACCAGCTCGCCTCAGTCGTCTGAGGAAGTAGAGAATGTAACATTTTAAAGGAAAAATATGTTGATTCAAAATTTCACAGTGTCGTCAAATCCCAAAAAAGTTGGGACAAGTAGCAATAAGTGGCTGGAAAAAGGAAATTGTGCATATAACGAACAGCTGGAAGACCAATTAATACTAATTAGATCAATTGACAACATGATTGGGTATAAAAAGAGCTTCTCAGCGTGTCAGTGTCTCTCAGAAGCCAAGATGGTAAGAGGATCACCAATTC